GGGGAAAACTGGTTATTTTAATAAGCTGATATTTGTGAGTTATCAGCTTACTGGTGTGCATGTAAACGTGCTCATTTTTGTCGTTCATCCCTCAGATGCCGCACATAGGCGGCGTTATGACGTGGTGGGCTATCTGTCAAATGATGAGGGCGCGCGGCGGGAAGCTTTTGAAAATTGCTCGCGCTGTGCTAGTAGTGCTAGTGCGAGTGCTGCATGTTGTTGTTGAAGACGTGTGTAACCAGACCTACGACTCTATGAGTATATTACACCTGTTACTCCCTTTTCAGTTAGTTTCCTAACTCTTTGGCTTTTCCTCAAGCTCTCTTCTTTAGCAGCTTGACTTGTGCTTGGCTCTTGTGGGCTTGTGTCCGGAGTTTCATCATCAGGACTTACTTGTTGCTGCAACTCCACAGCTTCAATGTCACAGTCTTCTTGATCAGCCATGTCACTATTCTAGTGTGCTTTAGACTTTGTTACTTGTGACTTTAACTCAACTAAGTGATATCACGCTCTTAAATGTGCTTACGAACTTAAATTGCTTCACTCTTTAAAGATAAACTTAAATTTGTGTCAAACACCTTAAACCAAAATTACGAATACACTTTTACAGTTGCTTCTTCTCATGTGGCTCTTCTACATGTAGTGCACCGGTAAAACGATCCTGATAGCAACAATTAAATAATTCCCAAGCGGAACAAAAAATAGGTTCCCCTCTTTTTCTATGGTTTTAGCTGAATAATATGAAATGAATTGACATGTATTAACAAAAAATATATTACTTATTTATTCTAATGATTATTCTGAACATTTTAACTAATTATTGACCTTTTAACTGTAAAGTGCATATTATGAACTGAAATATATGAGAGTTGCCTATGACGGCAGCTACAACACCGATTATTATATTCTTATTTAAATGAACTCATCGAGAATAATAATATATACAAGGTACAAGGTTTAATGAAAAATAATAAAATATTGTTCTTAAAATGTTGTTACATTTCTTTAGTGCGATCACTGAATCAGTATTTATTTGTACCATCGGTAATTGCTGGAATGTAATCTCTATTAGGCCTCTATTATATAAATAGGCCTATTTTGTTTTGAAATTTGTGGAAATTCATTGGTCAACAGATGGAAGGAACCCCTGAAAAACACTGTTTGGACGTAACTTACTTGCTTTCAGATTTTGAATGGTGGCTGATTCATGTGTTTAGGATACTGTTTTCAGTGATTCTTACAATGAAATGTAAGAATATTTGGCTATTCATACGCATTAAATTATGCTTAGTGTAGATTTTATTTTACACGAATGCATATATTATGTATAAAACTCAATATTTCAATAATATCAACACGATCAAAAGCTGACATCGTGTATTTCGCGTTGACATGATCAGGGAAATACGGAAGAGGTTTGCACGTCTTATAGCTAATAGTAATAGTTTGAAATAACGTATTTGGATTCGCCATATAGTGTAAGGTAAGTGATTTGTGTTAGGCTACATACAAGTACAAATGAAATGTTCTTGCATTCTATTATCAACTACCTTTACTTAAGTAAAACCTCCGTAAGGTATTTTAAGTTCGTTTTTTTTGTGTAATGTTGTTTGTTATTATTAAACATTAAATTGAAATACTGTGAAAGTTTGCTGAAGCGGATGAGACATAGCCTATTATGACCAAATGTCCCACAAGGATGTGTGAGTTAAGCCCCGTTCACACCGCCAGCGACTTTTTCGCTGTTTGGCGCTTCTGGCAATTGATGTCGCTAGTGGGCGTTCCCACTACTGGTTGCCTAGTTACCCCACTCCACCAGAGCAGATGAATCACGTGCTCTCAATTGACTTCACTCCCATTGGTTGTCGCTCGCAAAATTTCGCTGCTTATTTGCATAAAGTTGAAGAATTCTGAACTTTTGTCGCTTGAAACGCCCAAATTCCGTCGCCAACGGTCACTGTCGCTCGTGTCGCCGGAAGTCGCCAGCTAATGTTGTTTGTTATTATTAAACATTAAATTGAAATACTGTGAAAGTTTGCTGAAGCGGATGAGACATAGCCTATTATGACCAAATGTCCCACAAGGATGTGTGAGTTAAGCCCCGTTCACACCGCCAGCGACTTTTTCGCTGTTTGGCGCTTCTGGCAATTGATGTCGCTAGTGGGCGTTCCCACTACTGGTTGCCTAGTTACCCCACTCCACCAGAGCAGATGAATCACGTGCTCTCAATTGACTTCACTCCCATTGGTTGTCGCTCGCGAAATTTCGCTGCTTATTTGCATAAAGTTGAAGAATTCTGAACTTTTGTCGCTTGACTTTTGTCGCTTGAAACGCCCACATTCCGTCGCCAACGGTCACTGTCGCTCGTGTCGCCGGAAGTCGCCAGCTCTCCATTGAAAATGAATGGGATTGTGTCGCTGGCGGTGTGAACGGGGCTTTAAGAAACTTAAGATCTTCTAGAATCGCTAAACAAATCATGTTTAATTAATTAAATGCAATTTATCAACTCTACAGTTTTTCTTAATAAATGAAATATTTTGGCCAATATGTTGACAGTGATTTGGCCTTCGAATCAAAACATTGAGAGCCACTCAACTCACAAGTTTACAAAAATCTGGGATGCCTATATGGCTGTGTATTGATGTCACAAAACATGGTTTATTATATAACAACAAAATGTATAACTTTTTTTCAGAACATTAAAATGAGGATTTGTAAGGGAGCATCAGACAGAAGGTGAGTGCAATTCTGATGCCAACTGATTTACTGGAGATAACAGTAAATTAGTGGAGATCATGATCATGTTAATCAATAAAAAATATATATTAAGATAACAAATTTTTGTGCTTGTGATATTTCATTTATGACATTATATAACATAATTGTCTCTCTTTAACCTTGACAGTGGCCTTGTGGCTGTTATCTTTTTCATGTTGGGAATGGGAACTCTGCTTCCATGGAACTTCTTCATAACTGCAATGAATGTAAGACATAAAGACCGTCGCTGATTAAAGGTTATCTCTAAATCTCTTGTGCTCATACTCCATTCCCTTCTGTTTGCAGTATTTCACTGACCGTTTGAAAAATGGTACAAGTTCTACACAGACCGACACTTACATGTTTGGTAACATGAGCGTGCTGTTAGCCCAGCTTCCCTTGCTGCTATTCACGCTTCTCAACTCCTTTCTATACCAGCAGTGAGTATCTGGTTCATGTAACATTTGTTTACTTCTGCAAGTTATATAGTGTTGTATAGGTATGTAGGTATGGGAAGTTAATGGAATAGCTCACCCAAAAATGAAAATTCAGGCCGTCCAAGAAGTAGATGTGTTTTTCTTCATTAAAGAAATGTAGCATTCCATTACTTGCTCACCAATGGATACTCTGCAGTGAATAGAACTCAGAATGAGTTCAAACAGCTGATAAAAAGCAATAATCTTGTCACAGATTGCTAATAAAACTACCAACATTTATTTAGGATAAGTACATTTTCAGCAAAATTTCACTTTTGAGTGAACTATTTAACAACTTCTAATATTATGATTTTTTAAAAATCTTTTACTTATATAGCATTGCAGAGAAGATGCGCATTGCTGGCAGCATGATCTTCATATTAATGTTTTTCCAGCAATTACTATAAATACAAAACCTTCTGGCTTATTTGATGGGAAAGGTGAATCTGCACAAGATGTCTAGCTCATGCATTATGTTAGTCAAAGCACTGTGATTTTCATAATTTTTATCTTATAGATAACATCTTCGTACCTGTGTGTTCATTCATTGTCTTCAATGTGATGGACTGGATTGGCAGAAGTCTCACTTCTCGTCTTCAGTGGGTGAGTCTCATCAGAGCCTATCAACACAATACAATGCCTAACTATGGAAATTGTTTAACTAACATCCATCTTTGTTCCTTCCCAAACTCCCAGCCTTCAATGAAGAGTCATTCATTCCCTTTTTTTGTGGTATTACGGGTAGTTTTCATTCCTGCCCTCATGCTCTGCAACATTCAGCCCCGCGTCTATCTACCAGTCTTTTTCAATCATGACATGGCTTATATCATCATCATGTCTTTGTTTGCCATGACGAATGGATATTTTGCCTGCCTCTCCATGAGCTATGCTCCACAGTATATGACAACACAAAAAGACAACACAAAATATATTATCAAGGTTATTTACGATCAAAATCAGCTGAGGTCATTCAGGACAAACTAATTGTCCCCCATAATATATCTCAGAAAACCCACAAACTCTGTTTATTCTTTATCTAGACTGGTGAGGCCTAAAGATGCAGAGACAGCAGGGGCTCTGATGACCTTCTTCCTGGCTTTGGGACTCTCTCTAGGTGCCGCTTTCTCTTTTGGCCTTAAAATAATTCTTTAGGGAAGATCCCACAGGCTGACACTTCTGTTATCTCATTATCCCACCAACATAAACAAGTTTCAAATGACTATTGTTTTGAGGCTCAGGTATACTTTTCCCTTGTTTTCCTCACTTTATCTTGTGCACAGTTGAGTGTGCAAGCTTTTCAAAGTATACTCCATTGACCACAAACATGTGTATATATACAGTATACTTAGTTTATGTAATAAACTTCAGTATACTTACATTCAAGCATTCAGTCACACATGCACTGTTGTCCATGTGAACAAAAAATGGTGCACGGACATCAGCAGACTGTACAGATGACAAAAATGTATAAAATAGTTACTTTTGGCTTTATAGCACTTTATAGTCATGATTTTCTGAAGATCCCATAAAGAAACAAAAAACTGAAATTTAGATACTGTAGATGTAAACTTTTCTCTTAGCCTTCTTTTATTTATGTGTCTGTATTTTAAAACTTGCATTTCCATAGGGTGTTTTTTTAAGGGAAGTCTTTAACCTTTAACTAATATTTTTTTCTTTTGTTATTTGCCATCAGTTTTGTACATCAAATGTATGTTTTTATATTTTTATTTATTTTTATTGGTGTATTGTGTGTTTTATTTGTTGTTGTTGTTTTACTTCATTTTTTATAAAATTGTAAAATATAGCAAACGCTTCATGTGCAATCGCTTCACCTTCAACCTGTGGGTAACTGCAGAAACCCTAGTCAGGAACAGGTTAGATTTGCTGATGCCTTGTGGAATTTTGTGTGTATAGCATGAATTGTCCTAGTTTTTATGTCCAATTAAACATTACTTTTAGATTAAATGAGTAATGGCAAATTATTGACTAGCTTTGGCACTCTAGACTGATGAAATACGCTCTAAGCAATTAATAGTGATGTTTTCATTAAGTTCAGGTATATATGCTTTGATTAAACAACAATATACTGTATATTTTTTAGGGTACTTTATTTTTCTTCCTCCAAAATGTAAGTCATTTGTATGACGGGGGAGCAGATGTCTACAATGAACGGTGCCATTGTGAAAAATGATATTCTGTCAGGTTTTTGTACTCTTCAATCCCTATTGGCTTGTGAGACAACTTTTCAAAACATAAGAGATGGACCACTAACAAGGTCAGACAGCACCTGATGGGTATCACGGGATATCAACTGGTGACGCACAGGACTAAATCACTGCAGCAAAGCCGTCCATTACATCTGACATTGTTCCTGGAGTTAGATATTTAAGGGTTTCATGAATTTAGGAGTAGGGTGTAGGAGATGTTGTCGGTGGTGTACATGTCATGAAGGGCTCTACAAGTCGCTCTCTCCAAACGGCACTGAAGAAGGAGATATCAAGGGTGCCTGGGGAAGCATCACCGCCAATGTACTTGGTCATGCGGCTGATACAATATTCGGCTTGTTCTCAGCTCCTACACTGTAATGTACTGCTGCAGAACATAGTAAAAAAAGTGCTTAGACAACAGGAGCCATTAAACCATTTCATTTTTACAATCTGAAACATGAAATTACATTGGATTACCCAAAAGGACCTACCATCTGCATCCAACATTTTAGGGATGTAAAGGTTTTTCTGCTATGTCAAAAGCAGTGCTGATTTTGCCAATGGGGTCATCCTGCAAGGGAAGACATAGCCAGGGAGAAATAGGTAAATAAATAAATTCAGTTAAAAATCTTTACAAAAAAGTACTGTGCCAGATGGTAAGACTGTAGCACTTTGATATTTACCATGATTTATATCATTATCATATTCATGTACTATGGTATTTACATGTTACTCGAAAATACTTCAACAAATACCATGATATTAATAAGGGGTGACCGAAACTGTCACTTAAACAGGTCAAGGAACCCTACAGTTGCCGTGATTTTGCCAAGTAAGACATGTTCCTGGATCAACATCTTTTGTTGATCCTGGATCAACATAACTGTCCAAAAATATAGACTTAACCCAATCCCAACCCCTAAACCTAACCCTACCCATAATTTATTCATGCAAACTGTGAAATGATAGCTGATTAACAAGGTGTAGAAGAACCTAACCCTGATTGTAAGCCTATAACAGATATTTCCTGAAAACTATCCCTCAATTCTGATTCTGACAAGGATGTTGATCCAGGAACATGTTGTACTTGGTGAAATCACAGTCACCAGAACCCTACGCGACTGTGGCACGCTCAGGGAGTGGCAATTCATTCAGCCAACCTATCTGCCTGGGGTTTGAGTAACCTGCTCCACTCTATTCATCTTCAGCTCCGTCTGCTCCACCCTTGCAGTCATCTGCTCCATCTGTACTGCTGTGGTGGTCTTCTGCTCCGCCATAGGGTTCTTCAGTATTGTCAGAACTGCTGTGGTCGTCATTTGATCGCCATGGGGATCTTCAGCCCTGACTGCCCAGGTATGGTGCTCATCTGCTCCACCATGGCCCTATGAACTACCTTCATCTTGCTGAACTGCCTAAACTACCAGCACCTCTCTGGTCCCTTAGGCTACCGGTGTCGTACTGGAGGCTTTCTTATCTGTCTGTATTGCCCTGTTCACCTGCCTGTCAACTGCCAGAGCTCCAAGATCCATGTTATTCTATAATTACCTAATCACTTTGAACTGCTTGTAAATATGTAAATATGTCATTTGCAGTACTGTCCTGTCATCCTCTTCTGTTAATGTGACAAAAAACACTCTTTTTTTCTCCGCTCAATTTGGTGACACATTCTAATTACTTGTTGTACGGTTTAGCTTTTTTTAATGACCAAACAGCACATTTGCATTCTCACTGTACATAAAAGGGCTCAGAATTTTGCAGTTTAAATTATTTAACTGTGCAGCCTTACTTCATACCATACCTTTTTTACCTAAATAAATGTTGGTACTTTTTACTAGCAATCTGAGAAAAACCCATTTATTCTGACAGATGTGTTTTTATGCAATCTTTAGTTGAAACCGATTCAGAGGTTTCTGCCCTGGGATATTTTATAACCCTATGTGTCGCCACTCTACTTACTTTATGCTGTTAACTCATACTTCTGCATCTTGTTGGTGCCACCGGACATCATGATTTATTTTTACTTGTCACCTTTATTTATATAGCGCTTTTAACAATACAGATTGTCAAAGCAACTGTACAGCATTAATTAGGAAAATAGTGTGTCAATAATGCAAGATAACAATAGTAAACACTCACTTTTCAGTTAAAGGCAGTTCATCATTGAATTCAGTGATGTCATCATCCAGCTCAGTTCAGTTTAAATAGTATCTGTGCAATAAAGTCGACGATATTGCTGGAAATTAAAGGGGTCATATGATGTTGCTAAAAAGAACATTATTTCGTGTATTTGGTGTAATGAAATGTGTTTATGCGGTTTAAGGTTCAGAAAACATTATTTTCCACATACTGTACATTATTGTTTCTCCTCTATGCCCCGCCTTTCTGAAACGTGTCGATTTTTACAAAGCTCATCGGTCCGAAAAGCGAGGTGTGCTCAGATTGGCCAGCTATCCAATACGTTGTGATTGGCTGAATACCTCAAGCGTGTGATGGAAATTTTACGCCCCTTGCCATATTGTGATGCCTTGTCCCGGCCGGAGCAACGAGACAAAAACATTCAAACCCATCATAAACGAGGCATTTGTTGCATCCAGTGGGGACATAATTACGGATTATAATGAGTTATACTGTCTTTTTTACGTCTACCAGGATCAGAAAACAGTCCTCCATAAAATGCGCTGGACACATCGGAATATTTGGGTTGAACTGTTCTGGAACAGTGTTGTAAATACAAATTAACCACTGATTTCTAGTCGTGTCCTGTCTTGGAAGGCCAAACAAAGTAGTTTCGCTTTCACAACGAAACACAGCATCACACACGGTGGGCTAGAGTGAGCGGAGGCCTAGAGTGAGCAGAGGCCGGCGGCTAGAGTGAGCCAGGCTCAGTCGGGGGGGCCAGTTCTCCTCTGGCCAGATGAAACCAGTAGTTCAGTTCCAGGCTGCAGAAAAGTCACATTGTGCAGAGGACTTTTCTGGTTCCTGTGGTCTTGTCCCGGTGGCCATCTAGGAGACAAGGTCTTCACTGGGGATCTGTCTCTGGGGCTCATCTAGTTGTTCTGATCGCCACTGACATTCAGGACTGTAGAGGTCCTCTCTAGGTGCTGATCCACCATCTGGTCTGGATCCGGGTGACTGCAGTGACCAGCTGATATGGATACAGACTGGATCTGGTGGCTACGGTGACCTCGGAATAAGAGAGAAACAGACTAATATTAGCATAGAAATATCGTTCTTCTAACGATGTAGCAAGTACACCGGGTGTTTTGGGATGTGTTCCCGGTTCCGGTTGTCCTAATTAATGCAGTCTAAAAATCCTTTAACAGATTTGAATATTAGAAATGTGTTAGTGTGTTATGTGTAAACCAGGTTAAAGAGATGGGTCTTTAATCTAGATTTAAACTGACAGAGTGTGTCTGCCTCCCGAACAAGGTTAGGTTAGGTTATTCCAGAGTTTTGGCGCTAAATAGGAAAAAGATCTGCTGCCCGCAGTTGATTTTGATATTCTAGGTATTATCAAATTGTCAGAGTTTTGAGAACGCAGCGGACGTTGAGGACTACAATGCAATAAGAGCTCGTTCAAATACTGAGGTGCTAAACCATTCAGGGCTTTATAAGTAATAAGCAAGATTTTAAAATCTATACAATGTTTAATAGGGAGCCAATGTAGTGTTGACAGAACCGGGCTAATATGGTCATCTAGCTCTAGCTGCTGCATTTTGGACCAGCTGGAGTTCAGAATCAGAATCAGAATCAGAAGAAAGAGCTTTATTGCCAAGTATGTTTGCACATACAAGGAATTTGTTATAGTGTCACAAGCTTCCAGTACACGGCGACAACAACAACTACAACAGATAATAAAAATGAGATGTGAATAAAATACACATGCATAAATATAAACCACAAAAAAAAGAATAAATTGTATGTACAGGTGTGGTATAGATGGAA